TCTGACTGCATCCAGCCATTCCGGGTGGGCCGGAGTAGAGGAGAGCTATTCTAATAGTAGAACTAGGTGCTCGGGGAGTATAAATGGTTAAAACTATTTTTATTTCACAGTGAACGACCCGAAGGAAGCAAAATGCCGCCCAATTGCACTGAAAATTGAAAATTGATGCGCCAGGCCAAATGTGGAAGTGGCTGACATCCCCGGATGGTGCGCAGGAGCCAAAATAGGCAGGCCAACATGTTTGCAAACATTATTCTAATCAGAAGCATTTCAAATAAGAGTCATATTCGCAAACAGCTTTGACTTCTAGTAGAATAAATGTTCATGAACATTTGACTCTACTGCCTGCAACGTCAGTGAATGATCAGATCTCACTCTCTGACGCTACGGCTGGCCCAACATGGCGAACATCATCCTCGACCTAACCCAGGCCCGGTTCATCGTGGACAGTAGAAACAAGCAAAGTTCTTTCAGGCGCACTCATACGGCGACTCAATACTCATCAATCACCCCATCCTTTGCCTCTCCAGGGCTCGGCGGCCCAGGCCAATACGGGCGTCTTTCCGTTACATTTCAAGGTGCGTCTGCTCCTCTCCTGAAGTAAACTTGCGATCTAACACCGCGCCAGCCACGCAGATCCCGCTCGTCGGTTCGTCACCCCCTGCTCGCGCGTCCCAGAAGATCCAGGTCTCTATCGACTGTGATGCGCCGTATACCATGACTTACGGTGACCCGTCCACTCCCCGTATTCTTCTACCCTATTTCCTCCCACAGAACTCTACCATCTCCGCCGTAGCACATCGCCCCGTCTGCTGGCTCTGTGCGCCTCTGGGGAGCCGAGTTCGTACGCGTGCATGCTGCACACCCTGTCCTGTAGACGGTGCTCGACTCGCCGAGGGAAGGACGACACGGACGAGGCGTATACTTATACGCATGCAGTATTGCATGGGCTGCAGGATGGTGAGTGTGTGGGAGGTCGGCGACGCCTAGGCTGCCAAGCTTGTCGTGACTTTTACGAAGTGGAGGTTGAGGGGTTTGTGTTCCTACCCCCCAATGAGGGCGGTGCGGTGAGGATAGCGGTCGCCCCCGCGGACGGGCTGCCGTATGTTGCGTCGCTGGTGGGGGCGGAGGTGCTTGTGCAATGTGACCTCATGGGTGGAGAGCTGGTCCCGGTACATGTCGTACACGTTCCGATGGTCGTGGCTCACGAGAGGAAGGCTGTGTCGGGTGTATGGACGACGCTGTTGTGCGGCGGGGGCGCATATGAATATGAATTGCTATTTCATGGTAGTCTACTGATACTAATATTATGTTTTCAATCCGATTTGCAGTGAACTAGCACTACTTTTGCTTCGTAGATCCGCTCTCCAGGACCTCAAGTCCAGTGTTATGGTAGGTATGTAACGTCCACAATAGAGCTATGACTTCCTGTCGGCAAGATGCTCCCAGTCAAGGCCGGAGACAAATTCACATTCGAGTGGTACCACAACACGTTGGAATACCCTCCATTTACCTCGAACTTCCACTGAACCTTTTTCTCCGCCAGTCGCAACTACAATATCATTGTCATTGCTACGTTGCATAAGGGACCAGGTAAGCCAATTCATCCTTACTGCTATCAGTGTTCTAAACCTCTTATCTTTTCCTAGTCCAAGTTAAAATGGCAGCCAATTCCTGGAACGGCGATGGCGCCGTATGGAGCAAGTTCTGCTCCGACTCGTACTCTGAAAGCTGCGATGTGGACCTTCTCATCTCCTCGCATGGCCAGCATAGCATTAACATCCCCATTATCCCTGCTAGAGATTACCTTCTTCGTAGTACTACAAATTCATTATAAGACTCTCGGAATCATCATTAACACAATGTCCTTGCAGATGAAATCCCAGGACTCCACAAGGCCGACGTGCTGCTCACTCAGAAACGCAACCTCAGTGTTCAGATGTACATGAGCTGCCTGAAAGTCAAGGTGACTTTGAACGTTAACCAGGATCTTCCCGGACGAACCTCCTTCCCTGGTGTATCGCACGGACTCGTTTCCTGGAAGTGTACATTTATTCCTGATGACCAATTGTAGGAACATACCATGGCACCACGCCTGAAATCCACTTGGACATCTACGGCGCAAACAGTGCGACGTACAAGGCGCCTGGCCCCAAATTAATGTTTGGAACAGCGCTGCAGCTCTATTTTATGCCCAAAAAATCATACAGCACCAATCCTCCAATGGATACACCCGGAGTTGAACCGGGCACCGCCCGCAGAAGTAGATGCTCAATGTGTACGCTAAGCAAGCGTGATAGCCAACTACACCACGTATCCACATCTGTCTGATCCGGACGTGCATCATGATCGCTCCAGTCTAAGACATGTAAGCAACGAGTCCGTTGCTCGTTCGTGGTCGCCGATCACCGCTTAACGCAGGTTAACGCCGACAACCATGCGGGCGCAGACCTCGACCCCGGAGTCCTCCCAGAGCTCCGTGGAGCAATCCATGGCCAGGAGCTCCTCAAATGTCCCTCTCCGCCCGTGTACCCGCCCTCCCCGTACCTCCCGCTGGCTCTCGACGGCTTCATGCTAGCACAGACCACGTCTCCAAGGCCCTCGGGTCCGTGTTTTATATGGCACAGCATCTGATTCCTGACTGTCAGTAGCATGATCTCACAAAACGTTCAAATCGCCCGTTGCCTGCCCAGTTCAAACCTTCACTTCCCTCCCCCCCACTACTCTCTCACTGACTGACTGACTGACTGACACTACGGCTGGCCCGACATGGCGAGCATCATCCTCGACCAAGCCCAGGCCCAGCTCGTCGCAGACGGCGGCGAATGGACGACGCTCTCCATGGAGCGCTACTACGCCGGCTCCGCGATCGTCTCGTCCTTTGCCTCGACGGAATTCGGCGACACAGGCCAATACGGGCGCCTTGCCATTACATTTCAAGGTGCGTCTCCTCCTCTCCTTGCCATTTATGATCTAACGCTGTCCCAGGCACCCAGATCGCGCTCTTTGGCTCCTCACCGCCCGCACGCGCTTCGCAGAACATCGAGGTCTCCATCGACGGCGGCGCACCGTACACCACGACCTACGGCGACGCCTCCCCGCCCAGCGTGCTGCAGTGGTTCCAGTCCCCCCTCCTCCCCGACGGCACGCACACGCTCCTCATATCCCACATCGCCGGCGCGTCGCTCGACTACCTGGTCGCCACCCCGGGGCCCAGCACCCCTCTAGATGCTGGACAGCAGCTCATCGTGGACGACGGCGACGCGGCGATCACGTACGCGGGGCCGTGGACGCGCAAGGGGGGGCAGTACCAGACGGGCGAGCAGCCGTACGTCACGCTGACTTATGGCGGCGCGGTGCACCAGGCCCAGGGCAAGGGCGCCACTGCGCTCTTTCAGTTCACGGGTACGCCGCGCATGTACGTACCGTGCCCCGGGCGATACTCACCATTGGCTGACCAGGCACCGCGGTCGCCCTGTATGGCGTGCAGGACTACTCCCACCTCGGCACCATGCAGGTCGTGTACACGCTCGACGGTGTCGCGTACCCGCAGACACACACCGTCTCGCTCCAAACCCCACAATACCGCGCCGCCGTCATCCAGCGCGGCAACACCGTCCTGTTCGCGTCGCCAGCGGGGACACTGGCGGCGGGCAACCACACCCTCAAGGTCGAGGTGCTCAGCCTGGCGCCGCAGATGTCGCTCATGCTGGACTATATCGTGTACACGCCGTCCTTGGCTGGGGAGGCTGGGAGTGGAAAGGCGAAGGAGACGGGCGCGGGTACAGGTTCAGGCACGACGGCGTCTGTGCCGACGTCCGATTCAACTTCTTGGTCCGGTGGTGGTGTACCGGTCGGGGCCGTCGCGGGCGGTGCGGTGGCCGGCGTGCTGGTGCTTGCACTCGTGCTCTTCCTCTGCGTGCGCTGGTGGAGGCGCCGCCGCCGGACAGCGCTAGACGGGTCGTCGTCCGTGTCGTCCTGGGGGTCCGTGAAAGAACGAGGTACGTTGATCACCCTACACCTTACAAGTCAACGCTGATCCGCTGATCTGTTACGAACAGCCGACCTCCTCCGCGTTGCGCCCTTCATGGAAGAATCGGACGCCCGCTCCCACATCCACTCACACTCGCGCCCACGTACACCCGTCAGTCCGGGTGGCACCAGCACCCACAGCAACAGCCGATTCATTCCTACACCTTCATCTACACCTACACCAATATCCGCACCCTTACCCATCTGGTCCCACTTCCGCACCCGCACCCGCTCCCGGTTCCGGCACGGCACGCCCACGATCACGCCGCCCCCTTACTCCAACACCAACACCAACACCAACCAGAAGCGCCCTACACTTGTAGCGGACCTCCTGCGCGTTGCGCCGTTCATGGAAGATGCAGATGCAGGAGCACGCTCGCACTCGCGCCCGCGTACGCCGGTTAGTCCGGGGGGCAGTAGCATCAACAGCGGTAGTAGATTTATACTTACACCCACACCTACACCCGCACCCGCACCCACACCCTTCTGGTCCCACTTCCCCTTCCGCTTCCAGCACCCCACGCCCCCGCCCCCATCCCCGCCCCCACCCACGTACTACCCCAACCCCAACTCCCGTGCATACACCCCCACCCCCACCCCAACCCCAACCCCCACCCGAAACCGAACCCCAACGCCGGCGCAGCGCATGCACGAAGCCGTCGCCCAGCTGAACCGCGAGATCACGGCGTCGGGCGGGGAGGAGACGCCGCGTGTTGGCGAGCTGCGTGCGAGGGTGGAGGCGATTGCGCTTGGGCTTGGGCTTGGGCTTGTTGGTGTTGCTGTTAGGGAGCGGGAGGGGGGGTTGGGGGTGTAGAGGGATTGGGAGAGGGAGCGGGAGAGGGAGAGGGAGCGGGAGAGGGGGAAGTGGTGTTTTTTGGTGCGGGCGTGCTTGGTGTTCCTGAGCGTCATTGAGGACGACGACGTGCAAGCTGGGTTCGTGCCCTTCGAGAAGTTCGTGCTTCGTGCTACGACACCGCCCCGCCCTGCCTACGGTGCCGCGTGTCATTGTATGCGCAGAAACGAGTTCCGGGCAGAAACGGGGTCGAGAGCTTGTGTGTTGTGTCTTGCATATTGTGTGTTGGTGGAAGGAAGTGTATGCGCAGATCGAGGAGGCCTGTTCGCTCTTGGCTGTTACTAGTTAGTGTTAGTTCGCCTTTTCAGATATCGATATCTCACTTGGTTTCACGAGACGAGGACTGGATGGCCACGCCACGCCACCCCCTACGTCCTGCGTCCCGCGTCCTGCGCGGCACCAGGCAGCCATCGCACACCCGTTCCGCTCCTATCCTGATCCTTATCCCTATCCCATTCCCCATCTCGCGTGCACGGCCGTCCTTTCCCGCAGCAAGACCCCCCCGCCCCGCTCGACGCCCGGCTCCGTGCCCCTCTGCGTTGCGCGGCACGCTGCACGCTGCGCACCTGGTCCTGCCGATGCTGCTCGTGTCGGTGCCCCGGCATTGGCGTGTAGCATGGAGAGCAGCAAGCTCAAGCCCGTGGCGGGCTTTTCGCGTGGTGTGGGTGTGGGCGTGGGTGTGGTTAGTGGTTAGCGTGTTGGAGGTTACCGAGGGCCGAGGCGGAGTGGGGTTCGGGGGGCGTCGCTTGGGTGCGCAGGTTGCGATGTGAAGGCAAGGCCGGATGTGTGGACTGGTCACTGCGGGGTATGCTGTCGTGGCGTATAGAATGGTTATTAATTGGTATTTCATAGTCTACTTATACTACTAATATTATGTTGTGGATATATGAACTAGCAGCAATGCATGCGCGACGGCCGTGGCGCCGTGTCGTGCCGGGGTGTTTCTACGCACCGAAAAAAAATTGATGAAAGCTCCCTCCTGTTATGGACACACCCGGAATTGAACCGGGGACCGCCCGCAGAAACCGTTTGGGACATTTAATGCTAGTGGGCATGATGCCAACTTCACCATGTGCCCAGTTCTTGGCTGGAGCTCTACTGCTGCTGTTTTACCAGGCATATTGTGTACTGTCTGGGAATCTGGACAATGGGGTGAATGGTTAGCCACGGTTCAAAAAAGAAAAAAAAAAAAAAATTCCATCTATTATGCATAATTTCATATGAAGAAACCCTTGAGTTGGACAACCGCTGCATAGCGACATTTACAGTAGACTAAAAGTTTCAAAGAACTGGGTTCCTGATATTTGGACACCCGGAATCGAACCGGGGACTACAGGCAGTCAGCTTGTGCGGTCCACATACAATGCTAAGCAGGCATGATAACCAGCTACAACTTGTGCCCATGTACTCAACACTACAGTTACCGATAAATAGCTCCACTACATCTCGTATACCGGCTGACGGGCGGCCACTGGTGGCTACTAGTTAAAATCATGATTTACCGCCGATGTGACTCGCTACTGCTAAGATTCATTGGTGAGTATGTAATTGGAAAAATGAGCGAGGATAAGAGCGTGGGATTGCATGCTTGAATAAGATTTCTCACTGGCAGGGGAACCGTCCCTACAAGATAGGCTCTTGCACGACATGGTAGTGACATGTACTGTACTACACTTGCTTCTTTCATCATCGTCTGCCCCACCGCCCTTGCTACTATCAGGATTCTACAATAGAAAAAGAGACGATTTCTGAGGAATCAACATGCCCAGATTCGAACTGGAGACCACGTGAAAATTGACCAGAGCTACAGGATGCTAAGCGGGCATAAGCCAACTACCCCATGTGCCCGTGCTCAATAGCCACCGGATACCGTGCAAGTCCAGATTTCAGATTTAGTGTCGGCTCTGTCGAGGTGAGTTGATACTCTGATTATTTGGGGGGCTTGCCGTATGTGGCGTTGATGGGGGATGCTGGTATGCGCGTGCGTTATGGGCTCGTCCATAAAATAACAGCAATCCATGCACGACCGAAATCTCGTCGTATTGGCTTTTTATATATATTAAAAAAATTCAAATGATCGCACAGTTTGATATGGATATTCCCGGAATCGAAACAGGCACCGCCCGCAGAAGGTTTATAAGACATCTTACGCTACGTGGGAGTGATGACCACGTATACCATGTGTCCTTTTACTCATAGAACTACACCTAAACCTGGACCCACACCCACACCCATCTGGTCCTTCCACTTCCAACGGCGCACTCCCCTGCCCACGCCTCCCCCTCAGTACTCCAAAACCGACTCCCACCCGTACACCCCACACCCAAAGATGGAGAGCACCCTGGCGCCAGTGCAGCGCATGCATGAGGTGGTTGCAATGCTCAACCGCGAGATCACGGCGTAGGGTGGGGAGGAGATGCTACGCGGGGGACGC